GTAGAAAAACACCTGTTGTCCCCCACCCCCCCCCCCCCCCCCCACCCCAGATAAAGAACCGCGGCACGTGGCCGCAGCGCATCTCCTCCTGCTGCTTCTGTAACATGTTTGCTTTAAAGTCCTAAAAGCTTATTTCTCTTGTGTTCTGCTTCATGATAGTTAAATCCATGAAAACGAAACAAACAACACAGTTCGGAAAGCACGGAGGACAAAGCATCCGTTAACCGACACGCTGGGAAAGTCTCTACTGGATAGAAGTTAGATAAATAAGCCTGACTGCTGGGTGAACCGGAGCAGCTGGAGCTGATTTTTGCCCATTGCCTCATTAAACACAGGCCCTTTGCTTGTGTGTTATTGTTGGATATGCAGCTCCCCTTTGGCCCAGATACTGATGGGCTGCTCTGTGTGTGTTTGCTGCATTCAGATGGATGGAAATGACTCGCTTATTGGGTAGCAAGATCTGAAGGAGCCGTGTATTGTCAAGACAGACAAACAGATCCTGAGGTGTGTGTGTGTGTGTGTGTGTGTGTGTGTGTGTGTGTGTGTGTGTGTGTGTGTGTGTGTGTGTGTGTGTGTGTGTGTGTGTGTCTGAAACCTGAAACAGGTCAGGCATCAGACGGAGAGTCTTGGAGGGTTTCTGTCCTGCATAGATGTTCATAAATCAGCAGTTTTGTAGAAACAACCAAACAAATGTTGCTAATGAGTCTGAAACATGTTTGATTATTTCTTCCATTTTGTTGTTGCTTTAGTCTATTTTAGCTGAGTTTGTTTCATGGAAACTCTGATCCCGGTGGGCTGAAGCTGACTGTAGCACAATTCAACACGTAGAAACTAAAAACTCACATTATGTTTCAGTTGTTATTGTGACTTTAGACCACAGCGGTCAAACTCAGGCCCCCGGGCCAGATTTGGCCCTTGGTCTATTTTTATTTGGCCCACAAGATCAAATATATATATTAAAACTGGCCCGCTGACCCACTTTGCCGCAAATACTTTTCTTGTTAAGTTTGTTTGCTGATTCAATGAGTTGTAGGGACTTTGGGCATGCTCTACTAATCGGTTGACCAGGTGGGCAAAGGGCTCTCTGGAGCTAACATGATCCCAAATGGGAGTCTAAGCAGAATGGCCTTACAGGCCGTTTTCATCATTTAGCTATAGTGATGCCATAAAGTCTAGGAAGGAAGCCCAGACATTTATTTCCTTAGTGGCGCGGTCCAGCTTCTTCTAACGTAGAGCGGCATCAGTGCATGGCCATCATAGCATGGCCACCCTACAGAGGAAGGTCCTTTTAGTCATGGCTTTGGGTTGGAACGCAATGCCAAATTCAGAGCTTTGACTTCAAATAAAGCTTCTTCTTTACTACCAAACATTGAAGAACAACACCCAAGGTCACTGAAGGTGATGGCTTAATATACTAATCACATCATCTGAAAAAAAAACAGATGGGACCTGATGTTTCCAAACCTAAAGCCAAACCCTCCTTTCCATAGCCACAAATGAAGATTCTTTAATCCTGGAGCATTACAGCCGATAGACCTGGATACGGGGGAGTGGGGTGTTCTTCATGGAGAATAAAGTAGACAGAGCTAAGCCATTAGAGGATTGTAATTAATAAGTAACAATTTGCCATGTATCCTAAAATTTACAAGGAGCCGATGTGGAGTGACAGACCTCTCCTGGCAGTCTCTGTCAGCACTGCAGTGTTTAGAGCAGTGGAAAAGGATTGGTTGCAAGAAACTGACAATAAGAACCTAGTTGAAAATCTGCTGCTGGATTTAAGGGCAGCGTTTGATGTTGTAGACCACAACATGCTTCTTAAAAAGTTGAGGTGTTATGGATTGGAACCTTCTTCTGTAAAATGAATTGACAGTTATCTCTGTGATCAAGAGTATACGGTTTATTTTAATGGCAGCTACACTGAGACTGAAAGGATGTGTTGTGGAGTGCCCCAAGGTAGTTGTTAAGGACCTTTGTTGTTTTCCATTTTTATGAATGACTTGCCTTGAGTTGGATCGTGCCACAATGACAATTTATGCAGATGATATTACATTATTCGCACCAGAGAAAACAGTATTACAACATAATACTGTTCTAAATAACGAACTACAATCTGTTAATAGGTGGATCACAGCAAACCATTTGATAATAAACACAAATAAGACTAAATGTATGGTCATAGGATCTAGACACTCTTTAAAAACGAATCCACTTTTAAGCTTGACCTTAGATGGTACAATTATTGAACAGGCTGATGAGTTTAAGTTATTTGGTGTTATTGTTGATGATAAACTATCCTGGGTGATTCAGATTAACTACCTGTTGAAAAAAACAGGAAGAAGTATGGCCATTATCAGACGTAGGAAATTCATCCCATTTCACTTAATTAAGAAACTAGTTCAGTCACTGGTGCTTTCACACTTAGATTATGCCTCTGTGGTTTGGACCAACACCAATGAAAATTGTCCAGACGAGTTACAAATTGCACAAAACAAGGCAGCGCGCATGGTATTGGGGAGTCTGTACAGAACCAAATCTGTAAATCTGTTACACAATAAGTTGTCCTGGCTAAAAGTAAGTGAGAGATTGGAGTTTTCATTAACAATGTTTATTAGAAATATCATTACGACCAAAACTCCAAATGTAACTTATTCCACCTTGTCTTTTTCCGCAGATAAACGCGATTATTCCACAAGACAAAGTATGCATGGACAGTGTGTGTTACCTGCGTGCAGAACAAATCAAATGCAGAAAACTGTGGTCTATCATGCAATGGTGCTATGGAATGCACTACCAGGATTTCTGTTGACGGAAACTGACAAAAACTGTTTTCAGAAAAAACTCCAAATATTTCTATTTTCCCAAAGATAACGTCTAGCTAAACATCTTCTGAAGTGAGTTGTATTTAAAATTTTAAGTAGGTATTTTGTTGTTTGGGCTTTTGAGAATTGAATTGTGATTTTTCTCAGATGAGAATCTAATTTTGTGCACATTAACTATCTCTGCTTTTAATTGCTTTGAAGTCATCATGTACTTTGTGTTAATGTGTTTGTCTCACCTGCTCCATCTTCAACACACACACACACACACACACACACACACACACACACACACACACACGCACACGCACACGCACACGCACACGCACACGCACACTAATGCCAGAGGACAGCATGCCAAAACATGTTTTGGGCACCTCTACCTCATTTAGCAGCATGTTGAACATAAATTCTGTCCGAAGCTTACTTTCGTTCCTTTGCACAGAAAAGATGTTTGAGGAGACAAGCAGTGAGGAGAAGCCCGTGTGCAGGGCACATTTGCATATATTTGCATATTTGAATGCAAGCATGTCAAGGGCATTTGTCTGGCGCTCTCTCATGTGCACTGAATTCCACGTGGATCAGGATTTTATAGAGACGTGTTTGGATTCCTGTGCATGCGGTTTCATGCATCTGAACTATCTGAGCATCATCATTCCACAGGTCTATGTTTACGGGGGCCCTGATTCTGAGCTGGATGTTAGTAACCAGTTTGGCTTTCCACAGCCAGAGGGTCAAATCAGAGCTGAGTCACTGCGTCATTTAAAATGTGTCTCATAAAGGTTTGATCCTTCCGCCGCCATCCATAAAGGATCACAGAGGGGTAGGGCGGCTGGGCGTCGTCTACCCAGATCACAGGATTTGTCACTTTGTTCCTGCAAATAGGTGTTTATATACCTCCAACCTATTTTAGCATAGTCTATTTTTAGCCAGTGTTTAACCACTCCACTGGTTTTCCTACAGTATTTGTTAAACATCACACACACACACACACACACACACACACACACACACACACACACACACACACACACACACACACACACACACACACACACACACACACACACACTATGTTGGCTTTATAAGAACAAGCTGGTGACATTAAATTATGTGACCAGTTTTATAAGGGCGGGTCGTATTAGTCAAAACAGTAATTGTGTGTGTGTGTGTGTGTGTGTGTGTGTGTGTGTGTGTGTGTGTGTGTGTGTGTGTGTGTGTGTGTGTGTGTGTGTGTGTGTGTGTGTGTGTGTTGGTGCTTGGACCTACGTACTTAAAACTCACCACCTGCAGGAAGACACTTTTCACAGCTGAGCATCTCATTCACGTCGACACAAACACATCTGGTTTTAAGTGAAACTCAGTAAGAGTGAAACAATCACAACGACCACATTTAGATTGTATTAAATCTACTTGAATCTGGCCTCATCAGACATGATGGTGTTGTTCTGCATCACATTTGGAACTGGAGACATTTAATTCAACTATAATAAACTGAACTGGAAGCAGAAGCAGTAGGAACTGGTGCTAAACCAACTCTGGCTCTAGTTTAGCACCAGTATCTCTATGATGGAGAAGCTACTTGCTTCAGATAATTTTTGTTAAGAAGACCAAGCAAATTCCTGTTCTAGAGACAATCTCATCAGTTTGCATGTTCAAATAGAAAAATCTGCACGTGGAAACTTAATAGAAAATATAAACTATTGAAAGTGCACATGTTAACCCCATGTGGCCTATAGTCTTCATTCAAAAATCCCTCTTTTTCTTCAGAATCAGAATCAGCTTTATTGTCACCCCTTTTTGTCTGTTTTGTTGTCTAATGGGCTCGACACACGGGAGGCGACAAACGACCGCGATCAGCGAAATTTGTCGCTGTCGCTTTTATTACCTGACACACTTTAAGCGACCCATGGCAGCGGCAAAGCCGTCTACGTGTTCTGTTCCATGGCAAAATCGAAACTTCCGTTGTTTTGTTTGGCTGTGTCAGGTTGGAGGGAATTAAGGTTATTTAAGCGGTTCAGTTAATAAAGTGGTAGATATGATGTTTCACAATATACTGCTAGAGTTATGTGAAATCTTACTTCTGATTTTACTATATAAAACATAATAATACTCAACTTCTCCTCCATGTTTGCTCTGAGGTGTACGGAGCATCCTGTCCGCTCATTGGTCAGTGAATGAAAC